GAGTTTTGTATTCAGTGTGTGCTAACCCTGTACAACCTGATACAAGATGGTCAATAAAATATATATTTATCACAGAATCTTCCAGTCGAGGTAAACAAAATTTTCAGTACACGTGCTTGGTAATTTCTAGTTAGCAAGAATTAGTGCTGTGTACCAGAAGAAAGCTCTGATTACTATTGATACAGTCTCAGTCTTCATTCCCCACATCCTGTTAATCTCGATCTGCAGATCCTTGTATTTGGACCACTTATCGACAATTTTCATGGAAGTGTTTCTCTCAGATGTTACTAGTATGTCAATAAGCATATGCTTCGTGAATTTCTTGTCTTTTATAATAATATCTGATCTGTAGGCTTTTATTTCCCAGTCAGTTTGAATTGGCATGTCCCAGAGGATAGTTACGTCGTCATTTTGGGTAACTATGTCTGGCTGGTGCTCCTGCCATCTCTCAGTGGTTTCGATTTTGTGCTTCTTGCGTATATTCCAGTGTGTATATGTCGCTACCCGGTTTTGTCTGAGGTTATGTTCACAATTTTTTTATTATTATTATTTTCTGACCATGGCAATGAATATTCCGCGAACAATGTTCTTCGAACTGCAGGTAGGAAGCAATTGAGATTAAACAGAGAAAGAAACGCACAAGATATAGATCTATATCCCTTTGGAAATTTAGTAATCAACATAAAGATGACTCTCCTAATAAAAGAGAGTAAAGGATATGAAATAAAGTAATATTTCCTCTTGGCAGCTTAATAAGTGTTGTGGCCTCGTTAGTAGCCAGAAATAAAGACACAAAATTGAGTTATACAAAACAGAAACAGTAAAACAAACATATACATTGTTACAGCAAGAATGTTCGGTCCGACTGTCAGAGCTGACTGCTGGAAACTTCTCTCTCCAAAAGGCAGTACCTGCTTCTATTTATAGCTGGGCGTGTCCATGCGTGCGTGGGTAAATTACCATAACAATAAGTATATTGAAATAGACATAATATAAGAATAAATTCATGGGGTTTTTAGACCTGAATCATTTTATATTTCGAGTGCACAACTGTTTTCTATTAGTGGTTGATAAAGTTAGGCATAGATAATGAAACATTTCAGTGAATAGATTTCGTAATTATTTGAATGTTGCTTCCCGTTTGGATGAAGAAAATTTCTAATGTCACTTTGCACGAAGTATTGTTATTGAATTAGAGCGTTTTTAGCTCTTTAGTTTGAGGCAGTTGGACAAGAACGTATGAACTCCGTGTATTTCACTTTCTGTCACATATGATTCGATTCGAACCTTTATTTTGAGTGAATAAAATTATTGTTTTGAACATGCATGAAGAGTCCTGATTCATACTAAAATTGATCCTTTTTTTATTTCATTTTTTTCGTTAAGACCATCGGGACTAATGTATTGAACCTATGCACAAAGACAAATTTATATACTTTTCTCATCTGTGTGAAATGTGTAAACTTCGGGTTATGTACTCCGGCAAATTCCCACCGATTGAACGGGAAAACTGCAAATTAAGAACAACAATTAAACCAAAAATGATATATAATAATGAAAAAAAAAAACATATATATTTTATATTTTATACAAAATCTTTCAATATATTTTTTTATAAAAGAAAGGGACGCGGGATATAGATATAAAATCAGTGTTATTTTTCTATTATTTTTTTCTTTCTATGTTGCCGTTTCGTCTGACTATTGCTCGAAACGATTGTGCAATCTTTCATAAACACGCAATATATTACAATGTCTGCAACGTTAGGCACAATCAAAAGAAATTTAGTTGTCTGTTTTAACAATAGAGAATATTCATCCTCTATAAAGTAAATCATTTCAAATATTGAAGAAAATACTTTTCACAAAAAGATTTTTGCACAATATTGATTTTTATAACCGTTGGGACACGACCGATTTATTTCGTAAATTAAAAAAACAAAACAAAACATGAATATGGTTCTCCGGTTATACATGCCAAGATTCACGAAACAATCCAAAGGAAAGTCTGCAGTGTTATCGGTCCTGACTTGTCATTTCGAGTACAGTGACTTTCCTACCGCCATGGCGTAGCATCCTTCTCTCTTTTCTATAAATATTTTCAAGGTAATTGATCTAAGGAGCTCGACCGCATGAATTTAAGCGCAATACTCGATTGGCAACTAGGTCTCATAGTTTTACTGATGAAATAGCCAGACGCAACCGTAAGTTATATTCTAACAGTTTATTTTCTCGCATTTATTACTTGTGGATCATGTTTCTGATGTCTTGCTTCCCAGTCATCTACAATTTTCAAAAACTAAATCAGGGATCTGCCGTCTAAGTAGGCAATGCCTACATTGAATAAAATAAATCAGCAGCTACATTTTTTCTTCTGTGGCACAATATGCAGCTAATCCAACAAAATGATGAAGGTTACTCTGATTATTATGCAGAAAAAAATATATATATATATATATATATATATATATATATATATATATATATATATATATATATATTAGATTTACGACATAAAGTTCACAAGCTGCCTACCCTGAGCAATTACTGACGGCACGTACTTGCTTTAAATGCAACGTCACTTGCAATCGGTTCTTTTTCTGAAACCTGTTCTTTAATTAATAACCCGTTCTCTTCACTCCCTGTAAAGCCATGGGTCTTAGTGACATTATCTCCGTACTTGGGGATAATGCTTAAAAATTAAAATAAAATGTGTCAGTGTGTAAAACCTTACAAAATTATCTGAAGATCACTGTCGTGATCAACGCTTCTTCATCTGAAGTTCGGATTGATGACACATTAATTCGGACTACACGCGAAACGCTTTCATTTTAAACGTATTTCCATTTTGTACATTATCCGAGAAATGTTCTTCCACACATAAGCACAAAATTAGATTTCCTGACCAAATATTTCATAATCGCTTCTTTCTACACAACCAAATCAATTCCTTGACAAACATTAAAATTAACTAATACGCCTACATACATAAATTATTATTATTATTATTATTTAATTTTTATCAACTTTGCTTGATTTTCCTGACAAGGATTTAATATAAGTTTTTTTTCAACTTTAAAGAAGGGAAAAAATCCTCATCGAACGCTGGAGATCAAAAGTAAATTATTCAACTATATTTAAGAAATGAAATAAATGTCTAGATAATGCATAATTTTGCTAAATTAAACGTAACAATTTTCTATTTTTCATTTTTATCGCAGGCATCTTTGATTCTGCAGGCTATTTTCCTTGATCAAAATACTATATTAGCATACATTAATTACTGTAATTATTTTCCGCAATGCTTCTTCTATCATCTTGGAGATATATTTTAAACTATGGTTCCTTGTTTATGTATTTTCTCTTAAAAGGTTTTACGCTTGAATGTTCATTATTGCGTCTTCTATTTTCTTGAATTTCGTTCGCCGAAGGCGTTTCCTGGTCAGGTAATTCCATATTTTTCCTAAGAGATATGGTATAAAAGAAAATAACTGCTATATCTTAAAATGAATTGTAAATATTCTTAGAAAATTTCTCAAAAAGAAGGAAGGAAAATTAAAACAGATAATCGATTAGAAAGAAACCAAACAAAGCATTTTTGTTGAACTTTCATTTCTCTCTGCATTTCCTTATTTGGCGTTTCTTAGAGAAGCAGAAATAAGATTGGCGTCAGTCTATCTCATGTTTGGTTCTTTGACTTTAAGAAAATAATTAGAAGGATAACTGATAGTAATTCGAACTATTTCAGAATGAACACTGGCTTACGTTTATTTGATTGTTTCATACAAACATTCCTCAGAAAAGATAATATATGAAAAAGAGAAATATTTAGCGTTAACATAGAAATTAGTTTACAAATTAACTCAATTAAACACTAACACTAAATATCACTAAGTAAAACTAGACGAAACTATTAGAACCATTTAAAACACTTAATTTATAAATCAAGATCTTTAAATTAAAAAGAAAATTACTTGTTTTTTATTATTAAATTTAACGTGTTGCAGAATGTAAACTTAATATATTTACTATTCATGTACACTTATTTAATTTATTGATAATTACCTTAAATGCCGCAATCTGTCCTGACATTTAAGCGTGGCGCTAATTGTGCTTCCTACACAAAACTAAAGAAGCCTCTGGTCCAGCTTAGGAAACAGCAATGATAATTTTGAAGAAACAACTTTGAATTCTTCAATTCACTCCATGTAACTTCAAAATCCCAATTTAAATCTGATTCGAACCGATTTGGGCCGAAAGTTTGATTTGGACCGGAAATAAGATTTGGGCCGAAATTAAATTCAGGTCCAAAATTGAATTCTTCAAACCACAAACTCGGTTGAATTTCATAACCTCACGTCATAAAACCTCTCACTTTAAATCAGATTCCTTGTCATTTTGAAGAAATTAAATTTATTTTCTCAATTTACAAAGTTTTGGAGATATTTTAAACTGAATTTAAAACAAAACTTTCAAATTCATAATGTTTTTGAGGTTATTCAACATAAATTCACTATTATTTTCAGTTATTATCTTAAAATTTAATTTTTTCAGTGTTCCCTCCTCTTCCGGACACAAATCGCAATACTGGACGTTCAAACGCCAGATGATTCCAATCATATCTATGTTGAGCAAATGTCACCCGGGTTAGAGGAGTCTCAGACACACGGACGGACAGGCAGTACCTGACGTTTATTTTAGATAGGAAATGTCATTTTAAAATACCTGTGTCTGATATGATTCATTGCTTATTCATTTAAATACTGTGTCTCTTCAAGTGATTGTCGATCTTGGCTCTCCACAATTCCCTATCATTTATAGCTTCATGGAATTAGACAAAATTTTCCCCTTACAATCCCTGCCAGTCCGTGTTCTGCCACCTATTTACACAAGCACTTTAGGCTGGTTACTCCCTGCTTTTACTTGCCTTCATCATGTCCTGTGAGTGTCAAATTCTCTTAGGCTTCTTTTCTTATTGTTTAACTCAGAGCTGTTAAAGGTTTACGGCCTTATCACGTTGAAACACCGGTTCCCGTGTGATCACCAAAATTAAGCAACGTCGATCCTGGTTAGTAGCCAGATGGGTGACCACTTGAAAATAACCAGGAGCTGGATGTGCGGTTGGTGTAACGGATAAAGTGTCGGAATAGTAAATCAGAGAGCCGAGTCCCAATTCCCAATGGGTCCGTTATAATAACTTAATTGCACATACGCATGGGAAAGATATAAATCAACCTCTTCTCTCCCTGTAATGGGGTAATTCGTAAAACTTTATCATTAAACCATTATTATCTAAAAGAAAAGCTTACAAACTAAGTATATTTCCTGGCTTTAAATAACTTGAAAAGTATTGATAAGTCGTAGAATGTGAAAGAATCAATCAAGAACTGTTAACTCTCCATTACCGATAGTGGGGAAAAGTAATTTCTTCTACATTTTTCTTTAAGACTTCTTCTTTGCTCATATCTCCTGTTCATGGTTTTCTCTGCATTTTAATTTAAAACGACATTTCTTTTACCGGAAGTCTCTTCTTTATCTTCATAGTCCAGCATTCATTGTCCTATTATATTGCATAGCAATTCAGCAATCTTTACATTGTTTCTCATGAAATGTTCGTGTTTCATAATATTTGATTAGTTTTTGGAAGGAATCATTCGCAATTCCAATGCCTTTTTGTGTCATATTGTCATAATGTTTTCGAGAGTGTTTAATTTCTGAATATGCAGCTACGTGCTACGAATTGCTACGAATCGGGGATGTCAAAATGCCATCCCCAATTCCTATCACTAGCTGGAGCTGTCCACTTTGCTATTGATGAGATAAGCTGCTGTTTTCTTACAGTTTATGCTGAGACCTTTATGTTACTTGTCGATAAATTCCTCTGAAGTTTTCATTTTGTGTCTGGCATCAACACGCTCTCGTCTGTAAATCCTATGTTGTTAAGTTTCTATCCACCAATAAATAATCGTGCTCGTAATTTTAGTTTTCTTAGGATCACCTTGCTGTATAGGTTAAATATAGGATCAAGTCGCTGTATCTAAAATAAATTCGATTTGCCAGTTCTTACAGGTGTTAGGTCCCAGACATACATAAGTCATTTTCAAAATTACTTTATTTCACTTCAGTACGTAACGATTGAGCGAAAGCAATTTAACAAGTATTTTAAGAAAGATGTTTTCATTTTTAGACGAATATTTGAGGTGACATGATATTGGATTGACCGATTGCGGAATTTCCTGCTTTGATTTAAATTAAGAAAATATTTTCGGAAAATGACAGAAAACACGAAATGAGAAACAGGAAAATATTGTGACAAACATAAGCATTTTAGAAATACATACACATATACCTATTATTGAGGAGGCACGGTGAACTAATGGATAATGGCTCGGATTGAGGAATCGGATAGCCGAGTTCGAATTCCAGTCAAATCCATTACATTCACTTATGTGCTAATGTCCTTGGGAAAGGTATGAATCTTCTTCTCCCCCAACTTAGCTATGGGTTAATGGTAGGACAGACCGGATTCTATAGCCTTGGATGGCAACTGGTCTACTGCAGAAAGAACTGCTGCGGGAAAAAAAAATCTGCCTCGTCAGTCATATATCGAAAGATATATGATCGCCAGAGTGTGTATCACGGATGGCACCAGACTGACTGATACCTTTTATTACTATGTATGTGTTTTTTAGTAGGCACACATGTTTGAAGAAACGTCTAGGTATTTTTAAGAGTGCTTTACTAAAAACGATTGGCATGTTATGCAATTTCTTTAGGGAAACATATCAAAATATAATTTTCCACAATATCAAACTATTTTATAATTATCGATGTGCATTTATTTATATATTTCCGGTGTATTTATTGCTGTATTTACTGTCCGATCTGAATTTTTAGCCAAGCCTACGGGCCCGGATTGCCTCACATTAAATTCGGCTTTGTGCCACATCCTACCTCGTGGGGAGGTCGGTAAATATTACTGTCCGATCCGTAATGGCATGGGAGGTAAATAAATTTAAGTAAATGAATTTAAGAGTGATTGCTTCTCTTAATCGTTTTAATAATCTATGCAAATAAAATATTTTAGTACCCGAAAAAAAACAAAAAAAACGAACTGTCTATATTTCTGAGATGAGGTATTATGTACAGTATTTACATTAGTCGGACTATTGTCCTCATCTTTGTCGCCATATTTGTCACAACGTTTCGGCCGTTGTACGCTCCGGCCTTCTTCAGGTGGTTGGAATTTCGAACTGAACCCTTTATTTCGATCACTGGGGTAGACTGTTCTAGTTCCACGTGCCATGTTTGATGGATGTCATTTCGATCACTGGGGTAGACTGTTCTAGTTCCACGTGACGAAACGTTGTGACAAATATGGCGACAAAGATGAGGACAATAGTCCGACTAATGTAAATACTGTAAAAAACGAACTGTTTAATCAATCAAATCACTTACTCCTACGTTTCTCAGATTGCAGTCTTATATATTCAAGCCTTTCATATAAGGTACTCAGATACCATTGTCAGTTATGTGATCGTTTTGCTTGCTTCAACTTGATCTTGAAATAGGCTTTGCTATCTCCGTCTATATCAGTCTAATGATACTATTTTTCTTCCGAGAGATATTTGAATTTCACTGTTATATTAAAAGCAAACCATATTTTAATTACAAGATGTGCAAGAAGAGATTTATATAATACTAGCCGATCGCTTGCAAGCTCGCTAGTGCAATAGCTTTGCTCTGGCCCGTGTGTTGTTAGTTCATCTACATTGTATAAAATCTCTCTGAACATCTCTCTATTCATTCCATCATCATTTCTAACAGGTGTTGGCAAATTGCATCCTGCAATAATATAAACCTATCCTCAATTTGAATAAGAATGTCGCTCTTTATCGTGTCGGACATAATGGCGTCAATATGTTGTCTGCGTGCGATGGCTAGAAAATCTTCCGACATACTGTAACAAAATTCAGGGTTGCCAGATTATGCAAGGTTAAAAATTGGGATTTTTCAACTTTGTTCCTAAGTATCTCCTTAGCCGTGGGATGTATTGAAAAATAATAAAGAGCTAATATGAAAAAAATATTTAATGCTTAATCGATTCCTCGAACCACATTTTTCCCAAGTAACTATACTCAGGGGTGCCATATGTTTTATCTTTTATATGAATAAATGCGAAATTGGAGCATAAAAGGCCCCATACTCTACTTTATTGTAAATTTCACACTAAATGAGCCATAATTGTATTATATATAATCTACTTCTTGGCAATATCACCTTTCAGGTTTATGCCTTTCTTCTAGCATTGTAGACGAAAGACATACAAAATATACAACCGAAACAAAAATAATAACATATTTCGCAATAATAAATCACATGAAAACAGATGCATAATACTACCGACCAACTCTGCCACCTCCACTATCCAAAATAACCTATCCCATCTAAATAATCTTAAAATAGTCACAAACACTTCCAAAACCATTATGGATATACTCAGATCCTCAAACATTAATAGCAATAATATTTTTGAAGCAGGCATTTATAAAATAAATTGAAAAAACTGTTCCTCCCAATATATTCTAGAAACAAGTAGAAATTTAAATAAACGCATTTATGAGCACAAAAGAGAAAAAAGAACAGCTAATGCACTAGTCATACATAGAAATAGATTCAACCACAATTTTGATTTTAAAAATGCTATACTCATAACAAAAGAAAATAACTCACTCAGAAGAAAAATCCTCGAGAGTGCCGCCATTGAATATTACCCAAATATTAATCTGCGCCCAGGTTTTTTCCTATTTTACCTTTCTTAAGAGAATTATTACTCTCCCAAACGAACTACACAACAGTATCATGAAATCAAAAGAAAATATTTGAATCCGTCAGTAAAGCAATAAAAACAATATCTCCAAAGGTGACAGTAATTGCCGTAATTTTCAGTTAACACCATGAAAATAGCGTTCTCCCAATTCTTCCAGTTTCTAAGGACATTTTGTTTTTTGTTATTATTAGTTACTTTGTTTAATAAATTCATTTAATTTTTGCCTTGGAAGTTTCATATCTGACGAAACGCGTCGGAAACTATTACAGTTTTCCTATTGTTTTTTACATTTATAAATATTGTCTTTTTCTACAGGGTAACTCTGAGAAATGTTTCATATATATATATATATATATATATATATATATGCTCGCATAATCTGGTGACACTGAATCTGAGCTCGACGAAAATCGTTCCTTGCGCCTAACTTTTCTAGGGGTCTTCAACGAGCTATGAAGCATTGAAATCGGACCGGTAGGAGCGGAAGAGTTGCTTAGGCATACAGGTAAACATGATCTTAAGCTTATTTAACCGGTCTCACTTAAATAGACCCGGAGGATATTTTGCTCGTAAATACTTTTAATATTATGACGGCAATTAATTTTAAAAAATAACAAAATATTGATATAATACAGAAGTTTATTTATTTTCATCATCAATTGTTAAAACTTTGAGCCCTGACCACCGCTTTACCGGTGGTAGAGAAAAATCTTTTAATGCCCATTCAACGGTTGAACTTTGCGAAACTCTTGTGTCGTGATTTGCTAATGGTTGTCTTGTTTGGGTAGACTGTGACCCCAAAAAAAGAATTCTGGCGATAAAATCAAGGCATGCAATCATACTCTCTCCCTGTTAAGTATAATGATTTTTTTTTGTAATTATTTTTATATCTACCGCGAAACAATACATAGTAATTATTTTGACTCAGGAGCTCAGATAAAATTTTTAAAAGTGCTCAGGAACGCAAGGCTCAAAGGTTTAAGAAAATTTAAAATCTTTCTCTCTGTCAATTGCTAAAACACAAGTTGATATCATCAATTCATCATCAATTATTAAAAATCTCTGAAAATTTTAAGCACTTCAGGAATAATTTGACCATGATCATGATTTTCTTGCCCAAACCCTTCAGTTGCACCCACGGAAGACAACAATCACAGAGAATGGAATTTCATATCATTCAAGTCCAGCCTAGTCAGTTCACATATAACCACTGCGCTGACGATATAGAGACATGATAGTAAAAAATAAATATAAAGATGATAGTAAAAATAAACTTCTGTGTTA